GCAAGATCTGGGAGGGCAGAAGGCCTAGGGGACAGACAGGGAGTCAGACCCCTGTTTCCTGGCAGACGCACAGACACCAGGGCTTGCGTGTTTGTTGAGGGAATGAATGAATGAACAGGAGGCCCCAGAGCAAGGGACAAACCTGTTAGGCTGAGAGAAATGGACGGAGAGAGACAGACGCAGAGACTCAGGGATGGGGGATACACACATCACGTGGCTTGGAGGCACTCACACAGAAGTCAGGGACACACTGCAGGGGCAGAGTGGAGTCCAAGAAAGACACAGAGAGGGTGGACTATGCAGAGGACACACAGCCTGCCAGCGACAGCATCTACCCAGGCCCAGCACAGAGAAGGTTGCTCAGTAAATCTACAGCCCACAGTACATTTAGGGATCCATGAAAAATGTTTTAATTTCTTTCCAAATCAGAAGAAAAATGAACATTAGCTCAATGTTTTCATATATAATGTTAACATATTCAACTTTATGCCAATGTTGTCATAAAATAGAATTAAAAAAATTTTTATAGAGGAAGGGGTCCATGAAAGCAAAGCTGACTAGCACCCACAAGAGTCTTAATAGGGCCCTGTTAGGGTGCCCAGCCTGGGATGGGGTAACAAGAGGCCAAGGTTAGAGCAGACCCTCCTGCAGGGAGTGCTGGAGCCAAGGGAACCCAGGAAAGGGGCAATCAGGAGGCCTTCCCAGGGGAGGTGGCTTATCCAGGCTGAAGGAAGGAAAGACATGTTAAGCAATCAGGGTGACTGGAGTCAGCCTGGCGAGGCCTGGAATGGCAGGTGAGGGAGATGGGGCTTCCTCCACCAGAGACAAAGGATTCAGAGCAGGGCCAGAGGTGGGAGGAGGAGATGAAAGGCCACAGCAGAGTGAGGGTGAGTGATGGCTAAGCCACCCCAAGCTGGCAGCCCAGTGCCAGAGGCTGAATGGTGGGGCCCCTGCAGAGCAGGTGGGAGCAGACAGAAGGTGAGTCGAGTTTGGGGGGGTCAAAGGTGAGGTGTCCAGGGGACGGTCGCCAGGGAAACCGTCCAGGAGAGAGGCCTTGAGGCAGAGGCTAGAGGGAGCATTGGGCTGAGTCTGGGGCCAGGAAGGGGAGCGATCAGAAAGTGACCCCAGGGGCCACGTCCCAGGAGCCCCAGGGAAGAGGAAGGGGAGTGGGCGAGAGGTTCATTCCCAGACACACATATACACAGATGCACTCACACGGAAAGGGCGGCCAGAAAAGGAAGAAAGGGAAGGGGGATATTTAATAAAACTGCAGGGCAGTGGAGGCAGGAGGTAGAGAAAGACAGACCCACTGGCACAGAGATCCAGACACGGAAACACAGACAGACACACACACACACACACACACACGACAATCAGAGAAAGAGATGGGCATTTAATTAGAGCACAGCGAAGGGGGAGGCGGGCAGCAGAGGCAGACATACAATCAGATGGACAGATGGACAGACAAGCAGAGCCCTGGATCCCATGGGCACATGCTGAGAGGAGCAGAGGCCGGGGCACTGGGAGACAAGAGCCCCAGGGAGGGAGGGCTGGGGAGAGTGGGATGGACAGACAGATGGACAGAGCTCCATCTCTCGGCCTGGTATCCCCACACCAAACCCCCGTCTCCATCCATGCCCCTTCCCCTGACTGTTCCTGTCTGCAGCTCTGTGTTTCTGTCTGTCTCTGTCAGTCTTGCTCATTCTCTCGGCAAATCACAGCTTTTTGGAGCCCCAGGGAGAAAAATGGGAAAAGACAGATGAGAGAAAAAGACGAGGGACTCCCCGTGTGTGTGTGTGTGTGTGTCCGTGTCCAGCAAAAGGTATGGATGGAATTTTAGGAGGGAGGAAGGGTGGGAGGGGATGAAAGGAACAGAAGATGATCGAAGAGACCAACAGCAGTGTGGGGCCGCAGCCTGGAAGGAACAGGGAAATGGACATGCCTCGCCCACCGTGCACTGGACACACAAACACACACTGCACACATTGGAAATGCAATTGGTAGAAGGGACAGCAATGAAACTATGGAGAAAGGGAGGCAGGGAAGGGGCTGAGAAAGCCAGAGGCAGCCCAGGGAGACTGACACAGACACACAGGTAAGCATGTGCACTCACACAGCCGCGCAGGCCCGTGGCAGGATGGGGCCAGGGGTACATCTTTAACACAAGGTTTACATATGAGTGTACGAAAGAATGACGAGTCCAGCAGCCCAGAGTGAGGGCCAGTAACCGTGGGCCAGAGGATGGAGAGACAGAGACAGGGAGACTCACTCCGAGATACAAGAGAGACAAGGAGACCCTGAGGCCAGTGGGCAGATGAAAGGACCTGACAGGCACATACCCAGAAACATGCCTCGAACTCTCTGGGGCAAGGGCACAAATTACAGTCCTTTTTGTGTGTGTGTGTGCTTTTTCTGTATCTTTCCTACTCTGCTATAAGGAATATTTTTTCCCATGGGAGAAAACATCTTATTTTTCTAAAAAAAAAAACTGCATACAGAATAAGAGAAAAGTCACTGAAACCAGGAAGGGAAGGCAGAGGGGACGAGGGGTTCCCAGGGTCCCCAGTCCCCTGAAGTGGGCTGGAAACTGAACAGGGCAGCAGAACGGGGAGCAGGCAGAGGGGCCGTGAGAGGGAGGTTCCAGTAGGGTGGGCGCTGCTCACCTCTTCTCTCCCCTCTCTCTCTCTCTCTCGAAGAGTCGAGCAAAAGCAAACGGAACAGAGGCCCAGAATGAGGGAATCAAAACCAGAGAAGGAGCCAAAGACAAGAGACTGGAGAGACAGAGCAAGCGACCCTGCCTCCCTTCCCGGAGCAGACATCACCCCTGCGGGCCAGATCTGGGTTCATCAGCCAGAATTTTCCCCAGCCTCTTAAGCTCTCGTTCTAGTGAGGGAGCTGTGTGAACCGCCATGACAGCCCTTACAAGTTCCAGGAGGTCAGGGAAAGCTCCCAGAGGTAGTCTGTGGCCTCTGAGGTGTTTTGAAGGATCAATAGGAGTTTGCCAGGTTGCAGAGAGGAAAGAAAGGGCATTCTCAGTAGCGGAAATAGCCCCGGCAAAGGTATGGAGGTATGGGAGGGTCTGGGGGGAAGAATCAGAGGCATAAAGCCATTGATAAGAAAATCAGAGAGAGGGAGATACAGAGAGAGACTAGAAACAGCAGTAGAGCACAGAGAAAAGGAGAAACAGATACAGGGAGAAACAGACAGAAAATCAGAAGCACACAGAGACACGCAGG